GTTCACAATTAGCTTATCCAATGGTGAATCTTATTCATCAATGGGATAAAAATGGTGGCAACAATTTGGTTAATTGTTTTATTGTCACTTCATGTTGTCGGTATAATGATAATATCATTAAAGAAACTTGTATGTTAATCAATTGAACAAGTTAATTGGTTCTTATGATTAAATAAACCGAATCGTCAATACGATTTGATTGTTAAATTTTCATTTCCATGGTAATATAAGGAAACAATAATTTTGTTTTCATTGTAAAATTGTTGATTTTTTATTGAATTAAATTCAATTTGGTAAATTAAATTGTTGCTACAACACAAAATCATCAAATGCAATTTAGTCTGATGGGAAATGATTAAATTAAATTGATGTTACCCAATTTTGATTGTATGTGTCAAAATTTGATAACATTTGAATCTCAATCCAATTGGATTAACCTTGAAAAGTTTATTTAATAAAGTTTACGATCAAAAGATATTAGAACTTTTCAGAAAAAAAAGTTCGAACTTTGTTTTTATTATTTTAATTCGTTAGCACTAATTGTTCACTAGAGAAATTAATTTAATGTCCAACAATTGGTTGGTCTTTACTCTCAACCATCAGACATTTAATTAAATTGTAATCAAAGTGCAAAAGTTGATTAAAATAATTGTCTGAAAATTTAGTTTCTTAATTGTTTCATTACTTTGATCATCCAATGCTCAAGTTAATTTTAATCAACAATCTTAATGATAATTTTTCACCCGAAAATCAAAGTTAATCATTTGGGTACTTTCAGTCTTACTTTTTGTTATCATTAACTAATTGCTACTTTCACGTGATCAGAATTAACAATTAAACCACTTTGGAAATGACAATTAACCAGAAAATAAATGTTAACCAAAAAAAAATTGATTGTATCAATAACAATTATCGTTGTTATCAATCAAGATTTATGGTAATTGATTGTGATGATTTTAATTAACATAATTAAATGTAAATTATAATCATAATCATGATTAAGGAAGCTGATTAAAGTTAAATTGAAAACAAACAAAACTGATTGAATTGTTAAACACTACAATCAAAGATTAAGTGATTGTTTAAATATGTTAATTAATGAAAAGTTTAACAATCAAAAAAGTTAATTATAGTTTAACCAAAGTGATTTACTTACCAATGAAAGGTTTTAATTGTAATCAAGAAAAAATTTAAACAAGGAAACAGTTTTCTCAATACAATTTAATCAGTGATTAATATCAATCTCCATTGGTAGTGATTAGCAATCAAATCATCTGATCAACAATTTGAACTTGAATTGAAACAATTAACTGATTGTTGGTCATTTTTTTCAATCAGTTGAGTTTTTAATTGTAACACATTTCAAGTGATATAATCAAACCTTACGATTAAATAAGTAATCACTTATATTCAAAGTCTTAAATCACGATTAATCAATTGTGTGCATAGCTAATTGTTTAATCCATAAATCACAATTAAAATTAATAATTTCATATTCACTTCCGTTATGAGTTATTAACACGTAACATTAACATTTAGATCATCAAGTATTATGATTAGTATGCTGATTGTTATTGTAATTAGATGAATATTCATAAATTAGTTGGATAATTATAATCATGATTTTGTTTAATTAACTATTACAATGATCACAAACAATTATTACGATTCACGATTTTTCGCATGAAGATTAAGGAAAAACTAGGCTACCTACAGACACAGCAAAAATATCAACTGAAAGAGCTAAAAAATCTTCACCCGCAAAAAATAGAACCAATGTCATAGGTTGTCAGGGTCAAAAGTTATTAATTAATGAAAAAAAAGGGGCGTTAAATTGACCAAATTAAAATGTTAATTAGATTAATAAGAGGATTAGATAGAAATGAAAGAAAAGGAAGAGAAGAAGGATGAACTATGACGTACAGGGCAATGAAGGAAAAGAAAATAAAGAGCATCAGATGAATGTAAGTTTTTAATTGTATCAATCCCATAATAGAATTCGTGTTTTCTGACCAATGTGACTACTAATTACTTTCTTTTGACTGAACAAGTTCAGTATGATGCTCTTAACAATCTCTGAGCAAGAGAGAGCAACTTGGTGGGAAATTTGGGTTTCACCCAAAAAATTTTTTTTCTTAATTTTCAGTATGTTAACCAAAATTGGTCGTGGGTGGAAAAGCCTAAGGTTAGACTTCCTAACCTTAAGTGCACATAACGGTTGTACCGTTTGACCAAAAAAAAGACTTCGAAAACGTCACATTGGTCAGAAAACACGGAAACTTAGAAATTTTCAATTAAACAATTAAGTGAATAGAGTTCGTGTTTTCTGACCAATGTGACTACTAATTACTTTCTTTTTCTGACTGAACAAGTTCAGTATGATGCTCTTAACAATCTCTGAGCAAGAGAGAGGCAACTTTTTTCCTCGGTGGGAAATTTGGGTTTTCACCCAAAAAAATTTTTTTCTTAATTTTCAGTATGTTAACCAAAATTGGTCGTGGGTGGAAAAGCCTAGGTTAGACTTCCTAACCTTAAGTGCACATAACAGTTGTACCGTTACCAAAAAGACTTCGAAAACGTCACATTGGTCAGAAAACACGGAAACTTAGAAATTTTCAATTAAACAATTAAGTGAATAGAGTTCGTGTTTTCTGACCAATGTGACTATAATCTTTCTTTTCTGACTGAAAAGTTCAGTATGATGCTCTTAACAATCTCTGAGCAAGAGAGGCAACTTTTTCCTCGGTGGGAAATTTGGGTTTCACCCAAAAATTTTTCTTAATTTTCAGTATGTTAACCAAAATTCGTGGGTGGAAAAGCCTAGGTTGACTTCCTAACCTTAAGTGCACATAACGGTTGTACCGTTTGACCAAAAAAAAGACTTCGAAAACGTCACATTGGTCAGAAAACACGGAAACTTAGAAATTTTCAATTAAACAATTAAGTGAATAGAGTTCGTGTTTTCTGACCAATGTGACTACTAATTACTTTCTTTTTCTGACTGAACAAGTTCAGTATGATGCTCTTAACAATCTCTGAGCAAGAGAGAGGCAACTTTTTTCCTCGGTGGGAAATTTGGGTTTTCACCCAAAAAAATTTTTTTCTTAATTTTCAGTATGTTAACCAAAATTGGTCGTGGGTGGAAAAGCCTAAGGTTAGACTTCCTAACCTTAAGTGCACATAACGGTTGTACCGTTTGACCAAAAAAAAGACTTCGAAAACGTCACATTGGTCAGAAAACACGGAAACTTAGAAATTTTCAATTAAACAATTAAGTGAATAGAGTTCGTGTTTTCTGACCAATGTATTACTAATACTTTCTTTTCTGACTGAACAAGTTCAGTATGATGCTCTTAACAATCTCTGAGCAAGAGAGAAACTTTTTTCCTCGGTGGGAAATTTGGGTTTTCACCCAAAAAAAATTTTTTCTTAATTTTCTGTATGTTAACCAAAATTGGTCGTGGGTGGAAAAGCCTAAGGTTAGACTTCTCTACCTTAGGTGCACATAACGGTTGTACCGTTTGACCAAAAAAAAGACTTCGAAAACGTCACATTGGTCAGAAAACACGGAAACTTAGAAATTTTCAATTAAACAATTAAGTGAATAGAGTTCGTGTTTTCTGACCAATGTATTCTAATCTTTCTTTTCTGACTGAACAAGTTCAGTATGATGCTCTTAACAATCTCTGAGCATGAGAGAGGCAACTTTTTTCCTCGGTGGGAAATTTGGGTTTTCACCCAAAAAAAATTTTTTCTTAATTTTCTGTATGATAAAGTGAATAGAGTTCGTGTTTAAAATAATCCTTAATAATGAAACTGTTAGTATCTCTAACATAAGATTTTAAATTTGCACAGTCATATAAGATGCGAGAATCTTCATTAAGTGTTGAAAATATCCACAGATTAGATTTTCTTTCTTAAACACCCCTTTAAATAAAATCTCATTTTGTCTTATTTTCATATTGGATATTATTCGCAATTACTTCGGATGATTTTTCGTTTAATAAAAAGAAATCATTGGTATCATTTTTATCTATTTACATTTCATTTTTCTTATTGTCAAGTTCAAATTGTTGTTATATCTTTGCTTTGGTTGTTAACTATTGATAACTTTTTTGAGTTTCGAACCTCGATTTCATCTTGATCAATGGAAAAGATTACAATGGTAAGATATATCATTGATATTGAACCAATTAATTACAATCATGTTTTTCATCTAGAAATGTGGATATTGTGAAAATAACTTCAACAGTGTTGAAGAACTATTTCTTCATGTCTGTGATGGCTACGACAATGAAGTACGACACTTTGAGGTAGACACCGAAGTTCCAATGAAAGTCGATGCGACTTTGAGAAAGAAAAGAGGAAGACCAAGAAAGATTCCAAGTGATGATGTTGTAGTCGAAAAGAAGAAAATTAAGAAAAACCCTTGAATAGAATTGTCAGTGAAAACGATGATTGTAATGAAATTTTTTCTCAAATGAAAAGAATAAAATTCGATAAGGCAATTTATATATCAATGCTCTCTTAATGTTTATTTTTCTTTCCATGATCAGAGTCTAGCTGAAGCTATTATAGTGGAGGATAAATTGGTAAGAAAATATCGAAAATTGGTCAATTTTCATAAGTATTTTTGGAATATTCGAAAAGTTCTTAGATACAACATTTTCTATATGAAGAAATTGATACGCAGAGCTTTCATTTATGGTCATAATCGCTTGACGATGAGTTTCAGAAGCTATTTATACATAATCTCAGATATAAAAGAAATCGAAAGATATTTGGAAAAGCAACAAATTTAGATTTTCGACTGGTATATTATTCTTGAGAGCTAATAAATGGATTATTTACCATTTCTCTTACACAAGATATGATAAAATATTTAACCGTATGAAAATTTGACTCGATTCACTATAACATCCGGACAATAAACATTAACATTCTCATTTAAATTTCATTTCAAACTGTTTACCTTTTAAAAAAGTGACTTTCCGTTGAAAATGGACTCAGTGTCTTCAATTCGACAGGTAACAATTATCACTAATTTGCTCGGATTATAACGCATGTTAATAAAAGTTACATATCCATGAACTTTTGAAGTCTTTTGCAGTTGAATAGATTTTGTGTTTTCTGACCAATGTGACCACTTATTACTATCTTTTTCTGTCTTAATATAATCTAATTGATGCTCTTAACAATCTAAGAGCATCAAACAAACTTTTCTCCTCTTGATTTTGAGTTTTCATCCCAAAAACTTTGTCTTTTTTTCACGTCAGTAAACCAAAATTGGTCGTGGGTGCTCAAGCCTAAGGTTAGGCCTTCTAACCTTAGGTGCACATAACGGTTGTACCGTTTGACCAGAAAAAAGACTTCGAAGTGGTCACATTGGTCAGAAAACACGGAAACTTGAAGAATTTCAATTAGATGATTAATTGAATAGAGTTCGTGTTTTCTGACCAATGTGACCACTAATATATCTTTTCTGTCTTAATATAATCTAATTGATGCTCTTAACAATCTAAGAGCATCAAACAAACAAACTTTCTCTCCTCTTGATTTTAAGTTTTCATCCCAAAAACTTTGTCTTTTTCGTCAGTAAACCAAAATTGGTCGTGGGTGCTCAAGCCTAAGTTGGCCTTCTAACCTTAGGTGCACATAACAGTTGCCGTTTGACCAGAAAAAGACTGAAGTGGTCACATTGGTCAGAAAACAGGAAGAAAATTTCAATTAGATGATTAATTGAATAGAGTTCGTGTTTTCTGACCAATGTTCACTAATACTATCTTTTTCTGTCTTAATATAATCTAATTGATGCTCATAACAATCTAAGAGCATCAAACAAACAAACTTTTCTCTCCTCTTGATTTTGAGTTTTCATCCCAAAAAACTTTGTCTTTTTTTCACGTCAGTAAACCAAAATTGGTCGTGGGTGCTCAAGCCTAAGGTTAGGCCTTCTAACCTTAGGTGCACATAACGGTTGTACCGTTTGACCAGAAAAAAGACTTCGAAGTGGTCACATTGGTCAGAAAACACGGAAACTTGAAGAATTTCAATTAGATGATTAATTGAATAGAGTTCGTGTTTTCTGACCAATGTGACCACTTATTACTATCTTTTTCTGTCTTAATATAATCTAATTGATGCTCTTAACAATCTAAGAGCATCAAACAAACAAACTTTTCTCTCCTCTTGATTTTGAGTTTTCATCCCAAAAAACTTTGTCTTTTTTTCACGTCAGTAAACCAAAATTGGTCGTGGGTGCTCAAGCCTAAGGTTAGGCCTTCTAACCTTAGGTGCACATAACGGTTGTACCGTTTGACCAGAAAAAAGACTTCGAAGTGGTCACATTGGTCAGAAAACACGGAAACTTGAAGAATTTCAATTAGATGATTAATTGAATGAGTTCGTGTTTTCTGACCAATGTATTCACTATTATCTTTTCTGTCTTAATATAATCTAATTGATGCTCTTAACAATCTAAGAGCATCAAACAAACAAACTTTCTCTCCTCTTGATTTTGAGTTTTCATCCCAAAAACTTTGTCTTTTTCACGTCAGTAAACCAAAATTGGTCGTGGGTGCTCAAGCCTAAGGTTAGGCCTTCTAACCTTAGGTGCACATAACAGTTGTACCGTTTGACCAGAAAAAGACTTCAAGTGGTCACATTGGTCAGAAAACACGGAAACTTGAAGAATTTCAATTAGATGATTAATTGAATAGAGTTCGTGTTTTGATGTGAACTATTACTATCTATCTTTTCTGTCTTAATATAATCTAATTGATGCTCTTAACAATCTAAGAGCATCAAACAAACAAACTTTTCTCTCCTCTTGATTTTAAGTTTTCATCCCAAAAACTTTGTCTTTTTTTCACGTCAGTAAACCAAAATTGGTCGTGGGTGCTCAAGCCTAAGGTTAGGCCTTCTAACCTTAGGTGCACATAATTGTACCGTTTGACCAGAAAAAGACTTCAGAGTGGTCACATTGGTCAGAAAACACGGAAACTTGAAGAATTTCAATTAGATGATTAATTGAATAGAGTTCGTGTTCTGACCAATATGACCACTATCTATCTTTTCTGTCTTAATATAATCTAATTGATGCTCATAACAATCTAAGAGCATCAAACAAACAAACTTTCTCTCTCTTGATTTTGAGTTTTCATCCCAAAAACTTTGTCTTTTTCACGTCAGTAAACCAAAATTGGTCGTGGGTGCTCAAGCCTAAGGTTAGGCCTTCTAACCTTAGGTGCACATAACGGTTGTACCGTTTGACCAGAAAAAAGACTTCGAAGTGGTCACATTGGTCAGAAAACACGGAAACTTGAAGAATTTCAATTAGATGATTAATTGAATAGAGTTCGTGTTTTCTGACCAATGTGACCACTATCTATCTTTTCTGTCTTAATATAATCTAATTGATGCTCTTAACAATTCTTCTTGCTATCATAATGTATTATTTGTTTTGTACTTCCTCAGCCATGTAGAGGTAGACCACGCTCACGAAATACAAGTATTAGACAGAATGATGTTCGTAGGTACAGATATGATAGGAGACGGAGAAATACCGATAATACTTCAAATCATCCAGGATATTACGCAGCATTCGAACAAAACTTTTCTTTCTCATCTAATCTTGGAATAAAAAATGTCAAGTGTATATTTTGTGGTGCTTTCAATTTCGACTTTGAACGAACAGGTCGAGATAAGAATTTCAGTATTTGTTGTCAGAAAAATAAAGTTAAACTTGAGTTACCTCCATATTCACAGACATTAAAAAATCTGCTATTGGATAATCACCCACTCTCACATCACTTCAGAGATAAAATTCGCCAGTATAATTGTGCCTTCTCATTCATCACTTTCAGTGCCAAAGTTCAGAATATTCCTACACGTGGACCTTATTGCTTCAAGATCGGTGACACGGTTCATCATTTAATAAGTTCTCTTGAAAATCAGCGATTAGGTGGACAGGTCTATATTCTGGATTTAGAAGAAGCTTACAATGTTAGATCATCGCATCAAGCCAATTCAGGCTTAAAACGTGAGCTAATGAACATGTTACATGAAGAATTTCTCACTATAAACCCATACGCGAGAACTTATAAAAACATGTCAATTATCCAACAACGAGAGGAAGAAATGGCACGTTTGCTTGGATCACCAATCAAAGTCTATGGAATTGAGTTTTTCACTGATTCAAATGATAATCGAGGCCGTGGAAATTTGCCAAACATCTCAGAAATCGCTGCAGTTTTTGAGACTGATGAAGGTACGCCACCAAATAGTCGAAATTTGAGAGTATATCCTGTAGGCGAAGCTCCTAGAATAATCTCACATTTAAGTCCTCACCTTGATCCTATGGCATATCCTATCATTTGGCCTTATGGGCAACAAGGTTGGTCCCCTTTTTTGATTCATAATAATTCCCGCAGAACTTCAACTCGAACAAAACTCACTTTGAGAGAGTTTGCCTGTTATAGATTTTCAGACAGAGAAAATCACTTCAATGCGGCGAATCATTGTGGTAAATTAACTCAACAACTTTACGTGGATATTTATGTAAGGTACGAAGGACTCAGACTATTTTGGATCAGAAAAAATCAGGACAAACTTCGCGTTGAAACATATGCTGGGTTATTAGATTTCGTTTCAGGAACTTCTGAAGCACAAAGTTCAAGAGCTGGTCGCATGAGTAATTCTACCATCTTCTTTCACTGGAAGCCCTAGAAATATGTTCACAAGGTACCAGGATGCAATGGCAGTGGTGAGACATTGTGGTAAGCCAGATTATTTTATAACCATGACCTGCAATCCAAATTGGCCTGAAATCACTGGATCAATTTTACCAAATGAGAAATGGTTCGATCGTCCAGACATTACTGTTCGTGTTTTCAACGGAAAAGTGGAAGAAATGAAAAATTTACTATTGAAAAATAAAATATTTGGTCAAGTAACATCTTTGATTTGTGTAATAGAGTTTCAAAAACGTGGTTTGCCACATTTACACTTACTACTCAATGTTTCAAATCACTGTAAGCCAAGAGAAATTGAACAAATTGATTCTGTTGTTTGCGCTGAAATTCCTGACCCAGTAGCAGATCCTGAGCTATTCAACTTGGTAACTTCTCATATGATCCATGGTCCGTGTGGTATTGTAGATAACTCTTCTCAATGTTTGGACGATGAAGGTAACTGTACAAAAAAATTTCCAAAACCATACCAGGAGCAAACTCAGATCAGTGAAAGGGGTTATCCTCTCTATCGACGCCAGAACACCAATCAAAGATACCCACACAGGACGGGTGGGGTCACTGTCGATGTAGATAACAGCTGGGTTGTTCCATATAATAAATTTCTTATCAAGTATTTCAAGTGCCATATAAATGTGGAAATTTGTTGTACCATCAAAGCGATGAAATATTTATACAAATATGTTTACAAAGGTTATGATCAATCAAACATACGAGTAATAAGTGAGGATGAAAATGGGGTTATTGATGAAATTGATACGTTTCTCAAATCAAGATACGTTGGCCCGACTGAAGCTGCTCATCGTCTATTTGCTCTTCCAATGTACTTCAATACACATACAGTAGTATCCTTACCAGTGCATCTCCCAAATCAACACTTCATAACTTTTCAGGACACAAATGAATTAAACGCAGCAGCAGCAGCAGCAACCAGACACACCAAACTAACAGCTTGGTTTGAATTGAACAATCTTTATGATGATGTTCCTATTTATCCTCAAGTGCCGACTCAATTTGTTTGGTTTGATAATAAGTGGAATAAAAGAGTTTACAGTGTGAGTGACGTTATTGGAAGACTACACATTGTCCCACCAAATCAATCTGAACGATTTGCACTTCGCTTACTTTTATTGAATGTAGCTGGAGCTAAAAGCTTCATTGATTTACGAACACACAACAATGAAATTCATGGATCATTTCAGTCTGCAGCCAGATCACGTGGATTAATCGAAGATGATAGTGAGTGGGTAAATTGTCTCCAGGAGTTGGTAACTGTTTGTTTTCCAAAACAACTGAGAGAAACTTTTTCTTACATTTTGTTATTCAGCAATCCTGCAAATGCTAAAGAACTTTTCGAACAATTCAAATCACACTTTTGTGAAGATTTTCTTAGAGAATTCAATCAACAAGTTTCTGAAAAACTTGCCTTGGATCATATTCAGAGCATTCTCGATGTTCATCAAAAGTCTTTACATGAATTTGGAATAGAACATCACAATAATAATGCCTCGGATATACATGTTCCTATGAGCTCAAGTCGAAGGCAATCTTACTTGAATGAGTCAATTAATTTTTACAATAGTGCCAACAATGAACAAAAATTTTGTATTGATACCATTCTCAAAACTATCGAAAACACCAACCCCGATACATGGTCTAAGGCTTATTTCATCGATGGTCCAGGTGGGACTGGTAAAACATCAATATATAATTATTTGATAAAACATTTAACCGCCAATAACAAAACTGTCGTTGCTGTAGCTTGGACAGGTACTGCTGCGACATTATTGGTGAATGGTAGGACTTCACATTCCAGGTTTGGCCTACCACTAAACCTAAATGAAACCTCCGTATCTTCTATCTCAGCTCAAAGTCATAAGGCTGAAATTTTGAGATCAGCTGAACTTATTCTCTGGGATGAAGCTTCAATGATACCTAATACAGCGCTCAAGATAGTTAATGATCTATTCAAAGATATTATGTCATCTGAAAAACCGTTTGGGGGTAAAACGATTGTTTTAGGTGGTGATTTTCGACAAATATTGCCAGTTTGTCCTCATGGGGGCAAAATTCCGACCCTGAATCTATCACTCAAGAAATCTACACTTTGGCAATATTTTCATATTTTACGGTTAACGTTAAACATGCGAGTGGATGATAATGACAATGCCTATAGATCTTTTCTATTGGAAATTGGAAATGGAAGTTATAACAACATTTTACCACCCTATGTTATCTCATTACCTTCAGATATCATGATTCCCGCCGATGATAATCTTATTGATTATATATATGGAAACAATCCTGATATTTTCACAAGAGATCCATTATTTCTAACAGATAGAGCTATTCTCTGTCCAAAAAATATACATTGTGATGAAATTAATGAAAAAATTGTTAATATGATAAGTGGAGAAGAACAAACTTATACAAGTTTGAATACAGTTGTTGATGATGGTAGTGGGTCGAATATTAACTATCCAACAGAATATCTTGACACTTTAGAAATATCAGGTTTACCTCCACATAAAATCAAGTTGAAAAAGGGTGTGGTTGTCATTTTGTTGAGAAATTTGAATCTGAATGCAGGTTTGACTAACGGAACTAGGTTAAGTGTAAATGAAATGTATGCAAATTCAGTTAAATTTACAATAATTACTGGACAAGCAGCTGGCAAAGAAGTTTACTTACCAAAGATGAATTTGTTATCAAATGACCAATCGCTTCCATTTACCTTTAAGCGTAAACAACTTCCAATTAAAGTAGCTTTTGCAATCACCATAAATAAAGCTCAAGGACAAACACTGAATAAAGTTGGTATTTACTTACCTGAGCCTGTTTTCTCACATGGTCAACTATATGTTGCTCTTTCTAGAGCTAAAAACTCACACAGTGTTAAAGTTCAACTCCCTTCTTCACGAGTAAACACAATAGCTCGAAACTTAACTAACAATGTTGTTTATAAAGAAGTTTTATCATAATTATAGACGAAAATCACCATAAATAAAATTAATTGAAAACTAAAAGTTGCAATATTTTTCATTCGCTTTTAAAAGCGATCATGTTGATCGCACGCCCCCTTGTAATTATTGTTATTGATCATCATGATTTAAATTGAATATGATATCAATCATGTTGATTTTGTTGATTATGAAAAAGTGAAAGTTTCAATTATTATTTCAGAAGCTTGAGATTAATTTGATTTTTGAACATTTTCAAAAAGATTGACTGTCTCGTGTTAATCAGTTGATTTAGTTGTAGTTAACAATTAACTTGTGAACAGAAAAATCGTGAAAAAAAATATCAACAATCAAGTAATCATTAGTTTCTGATTCTCAGCTGATTAAAATGATTCTGAGAAAATGTTTCAATTTTCAAATGGTTAATATCATGATGTTGATGATCAATTAGCTTTTAATGGACACTTAATCAATACGAAATCTTTTCATCAATTTAATTGTTTACCAATTGAAAATAAGGTGAAAAGTGAATTAACTAAATGGTGGATTATGTGTTTTTTTAGATTGTTATCAATATAAATCGTCGATTAAATCAATTGATTGTGTTGATGGCTAGTAAATTGTTTCTCACTTACACCGATTACCAGTTGATTAAGTTGATTGTTGTTGTGATTAGATGATAATCAAGTCGAAAGAAACTTTTTTTTCCTGATAAAAGAGAAGAGCAAAAACTTTTTTTCTCTTCTTTATTCATTTTCAGGGTAAGAATAGATTCTGATGTGTCCATCAATTTATATAAATTTCTTATTAATTGTGGTCAATATTATCAACACTTGATTAATCGAGAGGAACCAAATTATAATCAACAGCATAAAACAACAATAAGTAAACAATTTGTTACCGATTGTATTTGAACAGTTAATTTATTATTTTTAGTTTTCCAATTGATTCTAATTGAAAAAAAAGTTCATTCTCATTGGTATCGATAAGTTGATTCTTCTAAAAAAACCCACCAGTAACAACGATGACCAGTGAATGACCATCAATTAATCAACAATCAAACATTAAACTTGCTAATTATCTTAATCTACAATTAGCCTTACTATTAATTAACCAGTTGAACTTTAATCAAATGTTAAACTGTCAGAAAAAGTTGCTCAAATTTACATGACAATTATCACCTTCAAGATAATGGTCACTTCTTGATTAACATACACATAATTATGATTAAGATAATGATGAACTACTTTCAACATTAATCTTGAAATTAAATCTCAAGGCTTAACCTTTATTAATCCATTTATGTTACCATGATTAACCAATTAACTAGCTACATATCTCTAATTTAGGTTAATTTAGTTAATCATTTCGGAGTAATTTTGATTGTGAGCTAATAATTTCACTTTTTCTTTTTGGTTTCTTTTCTTGATTCATATCGTAAACTTATTAAACATTTGGATCGATCAATGTTTCGTAAACTAAACCGTTAACTTCAATTTAAATTATGTAAAATTGATCAATGAATTTATATTGGTGTGCTATTCAATTTATTCATCAACTATCCGCATCGATTGGCCAATATCATGTTAATGTACGGTAAGAATGATAAAAATAGCGATTATCCTTAATTGAAGCCTAATTTGTAACAATCACATGAAGTTCATTGAAATTTTGATTGAAATCAGCTGAAATCCCATGGACAGTAACTTTCATTTTTTATGCTATTTATTGTAATTCGTGTTCCTCTTTGAAAATAAGTCTCAACTATACTAATGAATTAACCTTTAAATGTTTTGTTATTTTGGTCTTGAATCAGATAATTTAATTTAAAATTTGTTTAGTTTATTGAAACAGATGACAATCTTGAAGTTTTAGAACGTAATTAATCAAATGATGTTCTGATGCTAATTTTCATCAATAAAAACAATCAACCTTAATTTAGTGATATAATTATGGCTATTTACACACGTTGTTGCTAAGAAATTAAAGTGTGTTACGGTTAATTTCAAAAAGTTGATAAATTGTCAATATATTATTCCAATTGTTGGTGGGAAGTTGATAATAATAATAGTGATTTAATTGTTGAAAGTTTCAACAGATTATCTTGCATGGTTGATCATTGTTACTCTTTATTGTTGATTGGATAGTTTGAAAGTTAATCAATGTTACAATTACTTGTTTCCGAAACACTAGATGGAAGCATATACTGCGTTGACTTTTATTACAATAATATTTTAACAATATACAGCCGTGAAAAATGAGTTTCGAATGATTTTTTAATCATTCGCGCAGGTAGTGACTAAAATTAACTGATTATCTTTTAAGATATTTTCAATCAATAGGTAAATCATCTAAGTGTTATCACTGATGATAGAGATTATCAATTGATTTTTGTAACTAGTTGCGCGAATGATTAAAAAATCATTCGAAACTCATTTTTCACGGCTGTATTACAAAAAGTTGTTGGGACGACTGTTAATTGAATTATTTATTAGAATGGATATTTGTTCGTCTCACCGTATTTTCAATCAACAAACTAAAAGGTTACCGTTAGGGTGATGATGTTGAACATGGAAACTCAATCTTTCTGAATTTACATGTATTAGGTTGATTTAAGCAAAACGATGGTTTTTCATTTGCGATTTAAAATTAATTTATTAGATGTTTGATTTCTGGGGATAGAGCCTTACTCCTTGTGATTTGCTCGTAATTTTTATGGACTGTTCGGACTAATTCTCAATCAAAGTCGGAAAAATTAAGACTTTAGTCAAATTAATTGTTCTGAATTGTTGAGGACATCTCTTTTTTAGTATAATGAGTGTATGAACAAATCAGTTTGAGATAAAAGTTTTAGGTCAACTTGAAATTGTCTATACCTTCATTCATAAAATACTCTTCATGGTAATAGTGTCTAGTGAATTTCAATTGTATATTATTCATTTTATTATTGTTTTTCTTAATATGATTAACCATTGATTCAAATTAAATTAAATCAATTTAATCGGATTTATATACATTTACCTTTGGTTCACCAAGTAAATCAACTTTGGTCTTAATCGTTGGACTTGCTGAGTTTACGTTTGAAACTTGATAACTTTACCAAAATTTATTAGGAATGCCTGTTTGATACTTACACGTTAGATTAACACCGATAAGAATAGTGGAAAGATGGAACAGAGACCAGAGAAAGAAAAAGTGTTGACAAGAAAACCAGAAAATAGGTCGAAAACATAAACTGAACTAGGATGGGATCATACATGTATTTGGAGGCCAAAAGTGAACATACCGATTACTGATTAATATCCATAATTGAAGAATAAATTGTAACAATTACATGTAATTCATTGAATTTTTTATTAAAATCAACTGAAATCTCAAGGAGCGTAATTGCACCTTTAGCTCATTATTGTTGTACAGCGTGACAATTCATAAGTGCGCAACTTTTTTTCGCATTTTCTGGTGAATGGGTAGCTTTTCGAAGCTAAAATTTTTATACATCTTCTAGATCGAATAAGAAATTGTTTGACATAATTTTCGAATTTTCGAAAAATTCGAATTTCTATGGGACTTTACATGATAGATTTTGGATCCATTCACAACATTATTTTTCTTGTTGGTTTTCAAGCGTCTTGGTCTCAAATTGAATTATTTAATTTGAAATTTGTTTATCTTATTGAAAAAGAAGAGAATCTTTATGTTCTGATGCTAATTTTCATCAATGAACAAACAATTAAACGTTAATTTAGTGATATAATTATGACTGTTTACAAATGAAAACAATGTAGTTGTTGCTGAGCAATTAGTGTTAATCATTCGATTAGATAGTTTGAAGAATTGGTATAAAAAACGGTTTTAGTTGAATTTTTATCATTTTATTATCAACTTATCGCGTCTTCAACAAGTTTAAAAAATTTGATTAACTTTCGTGTTTAAGTAACATTTTAATTAACCTCATCATGAATTTCAATATCTTCCAAATCATCGTTGTTCTCGTTTCTTTAATCGGAATTGCTTCAGTGATTGGTGCTCCTGTTTCTCAAGCTCCTAATGCTAATGATGGATCACCAACAGGCGAGGTTTCAAACCAAGGCGATCCGTACGGACAGAGAGGTCTATTCAATTACAAAGGTAAGTTTAGCAAGTATTAATGTCCACCTTAATTTAGATTTTGAAATGATTAAGTACACGTATTATTTGAATACAAGATTTGGGTTACGAGTAAGTGTGGTACATCAGGGTGGTAGGGGGATTCAAGGTTTGCAATTATTCGAGTGATTGAACATTTCATTCATCATTTGATTGTGGGGTAGAATTTTGATGAATTGTCTTAATAAAGACGATGGTGAGTTTTTACTCGAATAAGCCTAAAGACTTGGAAAGGAATTTAACCTCGAATTTGAAGATTTTCGGTCCCACAATAACCGAAGAACAAGATCGTTTAGGATCACTAATTGAATGTGTTAATCACTGAATCAAGTACTCACTTAAATCTATTGATTTTAAGAATTAAAACAATTAATTTCACAAATGAATTTTAATTAAGAATTTTTAGATGAGCATTTGTTGAAAGTTAACTAAACACTAAAGAGGGAGATGGAAAATTGTTCTAGAGAACCAAATTAACGTTGGGGGAAATACAATTAAATTGGGGAAAAGAAATTAGGGAAAATTAAATGGGGGAAACAAAATTAATCTAAATCATTAAAATGATAAAGTTAATAATGAGTAAGGGTTAAGTTGAACAAAAGAAAACCAATTGTGAATATGGTTAAAGATAAAGATGAAGATAAGAAATTGGTTAACCTGTTACTAAGCTTGTAGGCTTGTTAAGGTTAATACCTAAAAATAAAGAAAGTAAAAAGAAAGAGATAGAGAAAGAGAAATTCGGGTCTCTTACTTTTGGTTCATTTGTAAGTGAACTTAAAAAATGAAGAGATTTGGGTTAACAGTTTAGATGAAAATTAACTAATTGTAACAATTAAAAATGAAAATTAAATTGAATTCATATATCTCTAGATATAGAATTGAGCGAACATAATTGGTTAAATGAGGGATATTATTAATTAGTTAAACAATTAAACAACTATGATTAAGGATATTAATCATCTTAATTAATTTAAATAATGGAAATTACAATTAACTTTACAACCAATATACAACTATAGTTGTAGGAGGTCTAACATAGAGTTTAAATTGTTGTAATGATTAATGAAAATTTAGAAAATTAAACAATTAGAAAAATAAAAAAAGAAAAGCACAAAGGCTTAAGCGCAATTAACTAATTGTCACGATGGAATTTACAATTTTAAGGAAATTGAAGACTAATTAATTCAACAAATTGTTAATCGTCATCGATTCGAAACACTGATGATGTTCAGAATTTCTATCCTTTCAGTCCCCAGCGTTTTGACTGAGATACATCTTTAGGGTTTCCGTAGAGATACGATTGGAATTTGGTGAGGGTGATTTGGATGATGAATTTCCGGGTTTTCCTTGAGTTGTTTCCGGAGAGGGATTATTTTCGAGGGATGATGGAGGGTCTGGTAACATTTCCAGGATTACTTGAGCGGCAGCGGAGAGAATATCTTCCTTTGGGTTAATTGGGGATGAATTTGATGAAGATGATTTTGATGAGGATGGAAAGTCTTTATATTTTTCCATTAATTGATTTACTGAAGTTAAGGGAAAAGAAGCATTTTTTTCAGTTTCAGTTCCAATAACGGTAATATCACTAGAGTGATTTGATGAAGTTGATGATGATGAAGATGATGATGAAGTGCCTGATGGTGTGACACAATTGAATGAATGAAATTCTGGAACGGATTTGTGATGATAATAATATGACCAATCTGAGGGCCATTGGGTTTTACCAGCATCGACAAATTCACAGAATTGTTGATGAAGTTTTGAAACTTTTCCATTTCGAACATAATCTTTGATGGTTTGATTATGTATTCCTCGGCCAACAATTTCAACTTTTCTTTCAATTTCTTGCCAAAACGACATGTAAACTCTCATGGAAGTTATAGCTTCGATTGCGGGAGAGTGTGGCTTAGCTCGGATTGTATAACCGGCGAATAATAGAAAAGCGATGAGGGATAATGAGGCGGGACTGGTTCTATACGGGGAAAAGTAAATGGTTACATCTCGAAATTTTGGTCGGAGATGGTCAATTTCCGAAGGGCTGAGTTGAAGTCCTTGGAAAAACAGGAGTAAATTTGCACCAACAATTTGTTTAGCGCAGGCCATATAAGTTAGAACTTGGTCTCTAACTGAACTAATATGTTTTCCGAATTTTAAATCGGTTTTGTTCAGGCCATGAAATCGTGTGTCCATTTGGTCAATATGTTTATATTGAATGAAAGTCTCGTAGACTATTTCACAGTTTCCGTCAATGATGACGATCCAAATGGGATGAGGAACCAAAGTTTTTACATATTCTTTATTTAGTTTTTCAATTCGAACGTAAGCAGCATGAACCGAATATACGTTCGAGGGATGAGGATGAATTTTAATATTCGCATCAAGAAATTCTTGATGTCGAGGGGTTAACTCTTCGAGTTGTTGGCTGCAGAGATGATTGAAAATGGTTGTAGCCTTGTTGCGACGGTTTTCTCGATAAGTCGCTCGGTTCGGGTTCAATGTTGTTGGAAAATTTTCTTGAGTAATTAATTCTCGGAGTGAGAATGGGAACCATTTTTTAATGTTCATTTTAATGTTTTCTTTTTCTTCTTCAGTAACACGAAGAAGTGGGTTAATCGTATAGGGATTAACACGAGCACCAACGTCAGGAGATAATCTAAGGGGAGAACATGGAAGATCGTAGTCGAACTTTCCTTCAGTTAATTTCAGCCATTCCTCGGAATCATTGATTAAATAATGAGGAATGCGGGGATTTTTTCCTGAGTAATAAGTGGTGGGAGGACGAGAGGGAGCGGGATCATATTTATTGATCGGTGGGAACCCTATTTGTTGAGTAAATTCTTCTTCTTCAGAGAGAGGAAGAGTGGGATCTTTGGATTTTAAAAAGGTTGTCCAAAAGCCTAATCTTAGATTAGTGTGAGATCTGATTGCTACATCAGATAAACGAGGGTCTTCAGGGTTTTCTTCCTTGTTTAATAACAAACAAGCATAAAGTTCGAACTTTTGTTCTGAATCGAACTCATGGGAAGAATAAATAACTTGGGGAGTTGGAGCTGATCTAATATGAGGAGGGATGAAATTGATTAGTCTTTTTGGGAGAATTGAAGTTAATTCCTTTACTGAGGAACCATAGTGGAAATTTTTAGATTCTAAATCTACTTCTCTGAAAAGTCCAAGACGACATTCAGATTCGTGTTGATTTAGAAGGTTGGGACTGATCGCTTTAGAACACATAGTGTATCGACAATTAAACTTACAATTTCGATAATCAATGTAAGTTTTCGAGTGAGATCGAACTATATGTTGGATAATCATCTATGGATGAAAATCTTTTAAACAAGAAGGAAAAGACAAATGAATTTATTTGGTTTCGAGGTGGACTTAATTGTAAAATTGCAATTAGATTTTGTATAAAGATAATACAATTGGTACAGTACCAATTTTAAAATCACATTCGACGGGAATGAGACAAATTTGTTCACAAAATGAACATCTAATCTTATCGATGAAATTGATTAATTCATCATGGGAGACGGAAGCTTTAGAAATACCTTTAGGTATCTTGGGGAGAGGAATCGAGTAGATTGAATTATCTTGGTAAAGGTTAAGATAAATTTTCTCACGAATCATTTTTTCATATTTGATTCTAATGTTTTTAAAGTTCTCACGTTTTGATCTAACTAATTGTTGAACTTCACGAAATTTTTCAATTGAGAGATGTTTAGGCAAATCGGCAGGAAGAGGAGCTGGAAATTTATTTGGGTAAATGAAAGGATATTGATTCGGTTTCGGGTATTTTTCGGAGGAACTAGTTGATGGCATGAAATAAGAAGTACTTGGACGATTTACGACATTACCTTTTTCCATGTTGGTTCTGAGGGTTATTTTCTTTGGGTGAGATGAACAATTTGAATCTAAGGATTCGATGGAGATGGAACGTTTTCTAGTTGAGGGTTGATGAACAATCGGAGAGTCAAAGTTAACAGTTTTTATTTGGAGATCCTTAGAGGGATTAACAGGAGAATCAGTTCTAATAAGGTAACAGGGAAATTCAGTTGTAGGTGGTTTTCCAGGGGGACCAGGTCGATAATTGATAATTTCAGTTTCTTCTTCACTTTCACTTTCACAAAGAGAACGGTAAAAATGTTGTTGAGCACGATGATGAGCCGATGATACACTAAGAGGTGTAGGTGAAGTTGATTGATTTTTATCCATTTCGAGGATAATGATGACAATGATGATAAAATTTGGCTTTTTTTAATTGAGAGAGAAAGTTAATCAAATGATGATTAAGATGAAAAATGGCGAGAAAAAGCACTTGAAGATGATTAATAGTCACTTCCGTTTAAGTTGACACTTAAGGGTGAAGACTAATATAGCTGAAGCTATTTGACTCTTTTAATCAAAATGATTAATTAAACAAAATTTGTAACAATTAGAGTAATTGAAGATGATTAAGAAGATGAGATGAAACAATTAACTTGATTAAGTAAATTTAAACAAAAGAAAATTCTAGAGAAAATTTCACTTTGAATAATTAGAACATCTAAGATGTGAACATTACTTGACCAAAGGGTTGACTGAACAAAGACAATGGTGTGAGGCGGGTAATTGTCATTAGTGGAAGTAGCGCCATAGGTGTAGAGAGGGTGAATTTTTAAAAGAGAATAGAATTTTTTAAAGAGAATAGAATTTTTGGTAAATTCGATTCTATTATTAACTTCGTCAATATAGATTAGATTTAATCTCAAATTTTTATCATTATAGTGATTGGGATAATTTAAAAAGAGAAATAATTAATTTTGATTTTATCACTATAGTGATTTAAAGGATTATTAAGATAATTAAAATTAAAGGAGGCAGATTTTCATTGTCATTTGTCAACAATGAAAGAAAATATAAAATAAAAACATTCTTGTTTCTTAATTGTTGCCTTGTCAAAACTTTGTTTTGATTGTTAACAATTAACTTTTCTTGATTAATTA